GCAGTTGCCAGTGAATACGGGATGCACCGTTTTCCTGACGGTGCTATGCAGAAGTAGTGGTTCCATCCGGTATGGAACGGGATATGGCCTAGCCACCAACCATGTGAACCTCTGGTATTAATGTTTCCCGCTGTGCATGGTGAAGGAGTGTGGGTCGGCTCCGATTATGGGTGGTGCAACGCAAGCCATTCATGGTCCCTCAGTGGGCACAGGCGTCCTGTGTCTGTGCACAATCTCGTTAATAGGGAAACTTTGAAAGGTATTCCGTCAACTATGTGTGTGTGTGAGTGCAGCTCTAGCTGATGCAGCGAAGTCGTTCTGTGGCTGTCCTATAGAGACCACAGCGAAAGATGAATCCGGATGCCGCCAACCATGTACTGGAATTTGTGCGTGTGCCGCCCCACATGTGATTGCTGTGTTTGGTGTGTTATACGGATGCTCACCAATGTGGACTCCGCTACTTTGGTGTCCTCAAGCGCGAACTACACACACTGCTTCTGTCATGTACACATGTCTACGGACTGCTCACTTGTCATGTTTTGTTTGCAGCTATTGCAGCTGGCACACGACCTAAAGGAACTGAACAAAAATTGACAATAAGACTCGCATGTGAAGGCGTTATGAAATACTACCATTTGGTAGACCGACGAGGATAGTAGTACCACATTCCCTTATGTTTACTGGTGCTGAGGACAATCTTCACTGTGAAAGGGCACAATCAAGTGTTCGATGTTGCTGAAGGTTTATTTTTTGATGCTTTCACTAATGAAAGAACTTTACCTCATGACGATGGGAGTATAATGGCATTGTGTAACTTCAGTGAATCCAGCTGCGCTTGTTGAGGAAACTAACGTAGTGCTTACCGGACGAATATCGCCACCTTCATTACTAGAAAATCTAGAAGACTTCTTATACTTGTGACAGTAACCCTGTAATATCACAAGTTATCGTTCTGAGACCAACCCTTTTACGTCGAAAACTCATGTTCCCCACGGTTGCACACCGGTGACATCCTTGTGAAGACGCTAGTGTAGGCTATTAGGCCCATTGCACTTCGGCGCGAATTTCATCGATTTGCTGTATCGAGGTACTTTCGGTAGCTTAACACACACTACTGGTGTGTGTGTGTGTGTTAGTTTAGGTTGCTCGATGTCTCAAACACGTCTTCAGGGCCTTTTATTGTTGTATGGTGACGCAGTCGTACCAGTCTCGTGCACGCCACCAACATCGTCTTCGTTTTGACTGGGAACCGCAACAGCCTTCATTCAAATTAACTCATTGATGACGTTCGCACACTGTGGACAATTCGCCCCACCCTGCAGTCTGCAACTGATACCTCAATGTCGTTTGCTGCACTACCTTCCTCCAGACAACGGACACACAACGTGTCACTGATATTGCCAATTCTTCAATGATGCATTAATGACTTCATCTCTACTTCATCATCATCATCATCATTACACGTTAGCTGCAGGTAGAAAACACCTCAGCTATTGTGCCGCAATACAAAAGGCAAGAAAAGAAAAACAAACAGTGGCACGCCCGCTGAGTCCCCAGTAACGGATGGACATCGTTCCGGAGAGCTAACAGCTGGCTGCCGTAAACGAAAGTCATATTATGCCTAACGATTAAAATCGTGATTGGAGGGGCGTGCTAAACAGGAGGGGGATGGACAAAGGAACTCACAACACAAATGCCATTGGGGCCGGCTCCTAGCCATATCACCAAGTGTGTCCAACCAAACGTGTTCACCGTCCTAAGGACCCCAGCCAGGCAGTCGGGATGCACCAACCGACGCCAACTTCTAAGTGAGGGTTTTCATTTCTCTCGACCAAGTCATCACTTAGCTTCCCCTCCTCCTCTTCCAACCGCACCCACAACGCGCAAACAATGCACGCCGCGGGAGTCGGTGTGCTGGCATGCGCAACACGTGGCCCAGCCATCGGAGCCTGGTGCGTGATATAATGGTGCTGAGCGGTTCACTCGCTCTTCCTGCACCAAATACGCGACGTCGAACACGCTCATTGCTCACGAGATGTTCCTACCAGACATGAGCTAAGCTGCGAAGGCAGCGAGCCTCTTCATATCTGTCGACCTGATGGGCCACGTTTCACAGCCATATAGGAGAGTTGATTGGACGGCTGCGTTGTAAACTCTGCCGTTGAGGGCGAGAGTAATGTCGCGTCTGTGCTACAGGTGGCGGAGATTGGCAAAAGCAGCTCGAGCTTTTGCTATACGGTTCGTAACCTCATCTTCAATCCCACGGGTGCTAATATAGTTGCCCAGGTACTTGAATTCCTGAACGACTTCTAGCAGATCACCACCAAGCGTTAGCGCAGGGTTGGGTCCCTGCCAATCTTGGAGAAGTACTTTGCATTTCGATGGAGCAAAGCATAGCCCAAAACGATAGACGGCCAGTGCTAATCGGTCCAGTGCTGTTTGGCATGTTTGGGAGCTGTCACAGATTAGGGCAATATCGTCCGCATACTCCAAGTCAAGAAGTCGCTCACCAGGGAGTAGCTCCACACCTTCTATGTCTTGTCCAGCGAACGCTGTTTCCATGACTTCATCAATAGCGAAGTTGAAGAGGAAAGGTGACAGCGGGCATCATCCTTGTCTCACACCGCTGGTGATACTGAAGGGTGGCGAGAGTTTGCCATAAACCCTCACTCTGTCCGAACTATGCGCGTACAGCGCTTTGATAATGTTTACATATTTATCAGGCACACCTTTTCTCAGCAGACAGTCCCAAAGGGCACATCGATCGACTGAGTCGAAGGAACCTTTTATGTCAGGAAACACGACAACGCTGGGTCGCCAATAAACATGGCGGTGCTCCAACACTTGACACAATGTGAAGATGTGGTCGATGCAGCCCCGACCTCGACGAAATCCGGCTTGCTCTTCACGAATCTGGCTTTCACGAGTGCCAGTCAGTCTGTGGAGAATGAGAGAAGCAAGCAATTTAGAGGCAATCGAAATCAGACCGATCCCTCTATGATTGCCGCATTCCAAACTGGAGTTTCCCTTGAAAATTGGGACAATGACGGAGCGGTTCCAGTCTGTCGGGACTGTCTCCTGCTCCCAAAGTTTTACTAGCAACTCGTGTAGATCATCTACTAGAGCAGGTCCACCGAATTTGAAGACGGCTGGAGGAATTCTATCTGCCCCTGCGGCCTTATGCAGTTCCAACAGCCTGATCTCACGTTCGACTTCTGCGCGTGAGGGCGGATCCGAGGAGACGGCCCAAGGAGAAGGGTGCTTAATGCCCGAAGAAAGCGATAACTCAGGTTGGTTAAATTGCATAGCAAAGTGTTCAGCCCAACGCTCCAAGCGTTTTGACAGGCTGTGGATCGGCTGCCCACTCTCGTCGCGTATGGTCTCGCTAACACCAGGTCTCCTGCTGCCTGTTTCCCGTATCAGACGGTATAACTTATGATGATTACCAATGGCAGCGGCTGTTTCCATCTCAGAGGCACGATGAGACCACCAGGTTTCGCGGTCCTTCTTTAGGCTAGCATGTAGTTTTGCCCTGAGATTTTTGCGAGCTTCATTGTATTCGCTTCCAGCCGGAATACGTCGGCGAGCATCCATAAGTTCCATAGACTGTGTAGAGACCCAATGTCCGGTTTGGCATTTTGCTTTGCCACATGAAGACATGTCTGCTAATAGCAACGCTTGACGAGTATGCGACCAGTGATCTTCAACGGTGTTTAGTGGGCGCTTACTCAGCCCAGATGTCAGCGCATCTTGGTACACATTCAGCACATCTGGCTTCGCCAGCTGGCTGGTGTCAATCCGTTCACATCGACGTTGCAGACGTCCACCGAAACGCACCAGGAGGTCGGCACAGACAAGTGCGTGGTCAGAGTCCACGCTCGTGCTCCAAATCGAGCGACAATTTTGAACACAGCCTCTCCAGCGGTAACTGATCGCGATATGATCAATTTGCGTTCATGGTTGGCCCGAGGCTGATGGCCGCCAAGTCACGCTTCTGCGGGTGCTGTGTCGAAAGTTAGTGCTCGCGAGAAAGAGGCGAGCATCTTCACACAGCTGTAGCAATCGCTCACCATTATCATTACTCGAGCCTACACCATGTTGGCCGCCCAGATGAAGCTCATTAGAGGAAGATTTTCCGACTTGGGCGTTTAGATCGCCAGCCGACACCGCAGTATCCGTGCTTCTTCTGTAACGAAGGAGCTGGTGAAGTTGCTGATAGAAATCATCTTTTACCGAATCAGTGCTACAGTTTGTAGGGGCGTAAGCCGCAATGACAAACAGGCAACGTTTGTCCCCGCGCGACTTCGTAGCACGGAACGAACCAGCTAATCTAACGGCGCACATTCTACTGTTTACTGGGATCCAGTCAAGCAGGGCAGCTTCAGCCCGGGGATTCAAAACAATGCTGACGCCAGGTTGACCGGCATTCAAAGCTGCATCATCGCCAGACGGGCGCATTGAGAATGTGCCGCCAGTGTCGCATGTGGGGGATCTCAAGGTAAACACGGAGCTCGAACTTTGCAGGCAAAAAAAGCACCACCCAGTACAGCTCAATGGATCTCTGAGGCACGCAAATCATCGCATCTCGGTAAGGTCCAGCCTCATCTCTACTAGTGACGAAACGTTTGTATACAGATTGCCCAGTTTAGCGAACCACCCAACAATTGAACCGTTTTGGTGTGTTGTTTTAATAGAACACTTAACTGACGGACCACGTACTGGTTCTTGTATGGAGGTGATAAAACGCCCAGGAGGTTATTTATGCAAGCATTAATATCACTTGCACTTCAACCTATTTTGGTTTAGGTACCCAAGTGGTACGAGTTCACCTGGAGCGAGTATAATCCATGCCTGTGTTGCTAGTCCATCCATGCCTCAATAGTTCCGCCCCCCCCCATCCCACTGTGGAACCAGATGTTTTTCCCACCGATTCTCCGTTCGGCGTGACAACGCGGTCGACCTACTTTAACCCCGTATCCTTCTTCCTCTTCCCTTTTTAGCTCCCACAAACCCGTGCGGCATCCCTTTGGAAGTGGATATCCCAGTGAGTCTGCCTCATCTGAATGGCAATGCCTAACTTCGACCCAGTCGCGTGCGCATGACAGTTGAAGTTTGCTGTAACACCAACAGGCCCTCCCCACACACTTTTCGGTTGCGATTTAGGTGTCGCGTATGGAATTTGTTTTGGATACATCTAGCCTAGCAAGTACTTTATGCCCGATACAAGTGCCTAACCGTCATGATCTTAGTTCAGTTCTCAGTCCCAGCTGCGCGTCTATCTGACGCATCCAAACGACAGGACATCTAGCGATGAGTCAGAATTGGCACCCCTTTTCTAACTACTTGACCCTATGAATTCGATAATTGTGGTCAAAATAACATTTTTGTCAAACTGCGGTTGCTGAAACGTTACAGGATCGTCTTCATTTGTATATAGCTATACGCTCCTTCGTTACATACAGTTTATAACGTGCAACAAATTTGCACATTACCGCCTACAGACACCACCGTGTTCCATGGTGTCGTGATTCCAGCTTTTGGCTTGCGATTCCCTCGTCCCAAATTTGAGCCCACGCTCTTGAATAGGTCCGAGTACCCGCTGCAGTACTCCAGCGGCTGCGTGGCAAGGAACCAGCCGTACAAAGTCTTGGTGTTGTAGTTGTCGAGAATAATTGTAGTTGTGGGAGGGGCGGATGAGGGGACTGGGCAAAGTATTCTAGCTGCAATGTTTTCTACAGTCTGAAACATCTGTTCTTTTTGTCAACTCGTCGTGTTATATGCTTCATTCGTTGAAAAGTGGCACGTTTCTTGGCCCCAGCTTATTACAACTTCCTTTAAAGTTTGGAACTTTACGTGTTACCTTGTGTTTGTCCCTCTCCTTCCCTCAGGGAAGCAACTGTTTACCCGATGGTGCTCATCCTGGTCACCTTTTCGAATCACATTTGGCCCAACTGCGGTTCTTGGAGGATCGTGTACGGATGCTAACTGAGGAGTGTAATCATTTGCATTTCAGACTCGATGAGGTGATTAATCAAAAGACGGAACTGGAGATCCAGGTCAGTGTGTGCGCTGAAGCTTACCTCAGGCTGTTAAACCGCGTTGTCCACTTTCTTCCTCTTCGTGCTATACCGACAAATACAATATGATGACATTTTTACCACCGTCTAAATTTCTCGCTCGCTCTCTTCCTTTTAGTGTGATCGGTATTTGAAGAATGCAACAATGTCCGAGAGTCCCACAAAATGCAGACCTGGACGAAGTCTAACATTGACACGGTAAGTCCACTGTCTTGAAACTTATCAACTCTTGCGTTGCACACTTCCCATTCTTCACTTGTTTCCTCTTGGACGGAAATTCAACTCAAGCATCCCTTGTCAACACTCGCGCTCTCCTGCCGTCTCTTTGGTCACGAGTGACGGTATTACAGCAGCGATCGCAGATTTTCTAGAGTGGGCTTTTTTGTGATATCTGATGAGAACGTCACCCTAATCTTATCTGTCTCTACATGATTTAGATCTATTCGAGTTTTACTGCAGCTAAATAGGCTCTAAGAGGATATTGCGTCGCACCAAAGCATGATTTCTTCTGTTGCTTCACCAATAGAATTTCATCAGTGTGGATCAGACAGTTGATAGGTTGGAGGCACAGCTCCATGCCGAAATAGCAAACGGACGCACTGCATTCTATGGAACTTTCTTTTATGCTAATTGTCAATTAACGCAACGGAGTCGGCCGGCAGCCGAACAGGTGAGGCATCTGCTTTGTTTTAAATCTGCTGTACGTTTGTGAAACCTGGCCGCTTAAAGCAGCGGACCTGAAGAGGCTAGTTACGTTCGACCACCGGTGCCTTCGTAATTTAGCTCACATCTGGTGGGAAAACCGCGTGAGCAACGAGCGTGTTCGACGCCTTGTTTACGGCCCAGGAAAAGGAAATGAAACACTCAGCACCGTCATTTCACGCACCGGGCTCCGATGGCTGGGCCACGTGTTACGCATGCCAGCCCATCGACTCCCGCGACGTGCGTTGTTTGCTCGCCGGGGGTATGGGTGGAAGAAGAGGAGGGGTGGTCAAACGATGACTTGGTCGAGAGGAATGAAGGCCCTCACTTCTGAGCTGGCCTCGGTTGGAGCGACTCGGCTCCCTGGTTGGGGTCCGAAATACGATGAACACCTTTGTTGGACCCACTTGCTGATATGGCTAGGAGCCGATCTCAGTGGCGTTCGTGCTGTGAGTTTCTTTGTCCCACCCCATCCTTCTTAGCCTCCCCCTCCAACCACGATCTCATTAGTTAGCCTTATATAATTTTGCATAGTAATTTTTTGATGCACAGTAGCCGGCTGGTAGCTTATCGGAACGATGCGCATCCGTTACCGGTAGCTCAGCCGGTTTGCACCAGTTGCTTTTTCTCATTTTTTCTATGTATTGTGGCACAGTAGCTGAGGTGTTCCCAACCTCTAGCTAACATGTAAGATGATGATGCGTAGAAGTCGCTGATTGGAATCTACGTAGCTGCCAGAGACCTTATAATATCCTTAACCCACACACGGCTAGTGGTGATCGCGTGGCAATGTAGCATCGGCGTGGTAACCGACGTACTGCTGGTACCTTCTTTTGCATTCTTGCGGAACTGACCGATTTCCCGCGTTCAACACATTTTGCCGACACTACTCGAGACGTAATGATGGGGACCCTCTTTCGGAATATGAGTTCTTCCACTTTGTGGAGGTCGGTCCTACGAACCACAAAGCTCTTTCGGACGAGTCCTGTCTATTTATTACTAATCTCTTGGTACACATCACAATCGTTGCAGATTAATAATCTAATATGCATACGTGCTTTTGGCTCGAGTGGTTCCCACTGATTTCGAGTCGTGATAATCTCCCACAATAGCTAAAAATAGCTGTGCTGTGACCTAAAGGATCAGAAGCCCGTCTTGTAATCTGGAAGTCACGGGTTCGAGCCTGCGTAAAGGGTTGGGCGACCATCGCAGTATCCTTAGCTCACACGCGACGTGGTGGCTACTCGGCAGTGAAGCCCCGATACTGCGTACCGGCATACCGCTGATGTCTTTCTTTTCTTTTGTGTCATCTCCGTAAAGACAGCACACAATGGTCCGCATTATTCGTGGTCATCGATGGCATTTATACGTCACTGTTATGTACTAATTTTCGGATCAGTAGCGAGTGTCTTGTACACCCCTGGTTACCGGCTCGCAGCCACATAGCATGAACTACCTGGCACTGACCAATCCCACATGAACTGCTGAGGTTTGCGTAGCAGCGAGTCTTCGGTACGAGGTTTCGGCGTAATGCTGACCCTTATTCCTCTACATAGATCCACAGTCTAACAGACAACGCTAGCAGCGACAGGTAGGATAGGATATGGAGCGAAACCTGAGGTTAGACAATAATCTTCTGGCTATCATTCAGATTCACAATACCACTAGCTTGTACGGTCGCAAACAGCTGGGCTGCCGTGTGAAAAGAACTAGACGTCAGCATGACAGCTTCGGTGGCTTTTTCTGCTTTGTGTCGTCATAGTCGAACTTATCCCAGATTGAAACTCAACATTATACACACGTTCAACAACTAGATCAGCTGAAAGACGGCAACGAGCACACCACCGATGTCTGTGTCACCTGCCACAACTCGTGAGGTCTCTGAACAAGCGAAGTAAGAGGGTATAAATGCCGGGTTAGTAAGAAAACCAGGTCAGTGACTTCAATTTTCGCTGCTGCTTGTATCAAGCTTTACGACACAGACATCGGGCAGACGCCTAACAAGACGATGAGCGCGCACACATGATACGAGCACCAAAACAACGCAACTCGTGTTTTTGGTCCGTCAGCCAACTCATCACCATACAAGTAACTACAACTTTGTAAAACATCGGTCCGGGCTGCTTGGCGCTCGATCAAATGTGCACGGTTAATAGAGAGAACCCTAATTGTTCTCCTGTCTACACCTGGGCAACCTGACAGTATCCTGCCCACGCAATACACCATGACTTTTCCTTCTAACAATCTCTTGATGCTCTGGTCACCGCAGAGGATAATCAGCGGTGCTCTCTCTGCTGCATCGAGCAGGGTGGATAGGGGTTTGGATGCTACTGCTCAAGCCTTCCCGTTCCAACTTCACTTTTATCCCCCCAGTTTCAACCCCTCGATTCTTGGCCCTATCGCAACATGCTTTGCTAGGCGTTTATCTTCTAGTTTCAACTCACATGCAAACGCGGAGCGTCACTCCTGTGTTGTCGACAAGCCCACGTCCAACCAAGCGTTCCACCCCAGTTCATCGGCCCTCGATCCTTCTCCAGATTGGCATACCTCAATGTACGCACATTACTACAGATCGGTCAACAGGCAGCATTTATCTGAACTTTAGAGACCCTCTCGATCGATATCTGCTGCTTATCGGAGACCCGCCTACAAGACTCGAGCTCTATACTCACTGCGATCCCCTTCATGTGACACCAGCGGCACTTTCTCATTGCGCCTATCCATTGACGATGCAGCTTCGAGCACCGGCCAAGCTGGTGTTGGCATTACTCTGAGTCCCCGGTCTGAAGCTGCTCTGGTTGTTTGGATCCCAGTCAGTAGCCGGATGTGTGCGGTCCGATTGGCCGACTCGTTCAAAGCTTCGAAGTCGCGCGGGACTAATAGTTTCCTGCTTCTCATCTCTGCCTACGCACCCACAAACTGTAGCGATGATTCGGTAAAAGACGACTTCTACCGCCAACTGACCGAGCTCCTTCGCCACAGAAGAAACACGGACACTGTTGTGTTGGCGGGGGATCTGAACGCACAAGTTGGAAAATTGTCCACTGATGAAATGCATCTGGGCGGTCAGCACGGTGTAGGCTCCCGTAATGATAACGGTGAGCGGTTACTTCATTTGTGTGAAGATGCCCGCTTATTTTTTGCGAGCGCTAACTTCCGACACAGCACCCGCCGGAGGGTGACTTGGCGCCCATCAGCCTTGGACGCAAATCGATCACATTGCGATAAGTTACCGATGGAGAGGCTGCATCCAGAACTGTCGCTCGATTTGGAGCACATGTGTGGACACCGACCATGCACTTGTATGTGCTGACCTGCGGATGCGTTTTGGCGAACGCCCACGGCGACGCTGTAAGCGCATTGACACTTGCCAAATGACGAAGCCAGCCGTTCTGAATGCCAATCAAAGTACGCTGACATGCGAGTTGAGTAAGCGCTCACTGGAGACAATTGTAGGTCACTGGTCGCATGTTCACCAGACCTTACTAGCAGCAGGTAAATCCCCATGTGGTAAGTCTAACAGCCAACATAGACATTGGGTCTCCTCACGGTCTCTGGAACTGATCGATGCTCGCTGGCATATTCCGGCTGGAAGCGAACACAATGAAATCCGCAAATAGCTCCGGGCAAAACTCGGTGCTAGCCTGAAGAGAGACCGCGAATCCTGGTGGTGTCTTTGTGCTGCTACCCTTGGTAACCATCTTAAGTTATTGCGTCTGATACGGGAAACGGGCAGCAGGAGACCTGGTGTTAGTGAAACTATACATGACGAGAGTGGACAACCTATCCACCCTATCAACCTATCAAAACGTTTGGAGCGTTGGGGTGAGCATTTTGAAAAGCAATTTAATCGGCCGGAAATGTTCTATTCTTTGCCGGCCAGTGATCGCCCTGCTCCATGGGCTGTCCTTTTGGATCCACCCTCTCGCTCAGAAGTTAAACGTGAGATCGCACGGTTGAAGTTGAACAAAGCCGCGGGACCAGATGATCTTCATCCAGCCTTCTTCAAATTCGAGGCCCTGCTCTTGTTGATGATTTACACGAATTACTAGTGAAATTGTGGGAGCAGGAGACTGTCCCAACCGACTGGAGCCGCTCCGTTATAGTTCCGATCTTCAAAGGAGGCTCGCGCTCGGAATGCGGCAACCATAGAGGAATCAGTCTGATCCCCATCGCCTCCAAATTACTTGCTTCTGTAATCTTTCACAGACTGACTAGCGCTCGTGAAAGCAAGATTCGTGAGGAGCAAATCGGGTTTCGTCGGGGTCGTGGCTGCATCGACCACATCTTCACTTTGCGTCAATTGTTGGAGCACCGTCACACATTGGCGGCCCACCGTAGCTAAATGCACCTGCTGACACGGCTAGGAGCCGACCTCATTGGCGTTCCTGTTGTGAGTTTCTTTGTCCCTTCCATCCCTTTTAGCTTCCCCCTCCAGCCACGAGCTCATTAATAGCGTAATATAATTTTACATCAATTTTTCTTGTTACCTAGTAGCGGGCTGGTAGCTTTCCGGAATGATGCCCATCCCTTGCTAGTAACTCAGCTCGCATGCAACTGTTGTATTTATTTTCTTTTTCCTTTTATGTATTGCGCCACAGTAGCCGAGGTGTTTCCCACCTCTAGCTAACGTGTATAATGATGATGATGAGAGGGAGACCAGATAGGTAACACATAACTTGTTCAAATCATCCCGATGGTTATATATCTGCAACACTCCTTGAAAGGTATTTTTTAAGATTCAGTTCCTCTGTGTACACTTATTCTCCTTAGGTATGTTATTTCATGGGTATAGAAGCGTCCGGTGGCTGGCCACAGTGACAGGCAAATCCGAAACCGGATGCCGGTATCCATAGAAGCCAATGCAAACGCATCTACCGGCCGCCTTTTAGTGAGTAACACGTCAATGGCCGAAACCGAAAAGAGTAACAGCATCATAAATCTTGCTGTTTGGAAAACTTGCACAATCTGATATTTATTCATTGTTAAAACGCAGCACCCAAATAACCGAGTTGTTGGGATTTGGATCCAGTGAATATTGCAGCCACCAGACTGCCACTGGCTGAGACAGTCGGATGCTAGATTGTCCATGTCTTCACAGGTGTTCCACATGACGGGGACAAATCCAGACCTGTCAGATGCCAAACGCTAGTCACCGCTTTGCGGGGTGGAGGAATTTTGATTGTTTTACTTAATCCGTAATATGTCATGTTCATTCATCTCGTTGTTCCCAAAAAAACTATCGCTGCTATGTTCTCTAAATGAGTTATGGAAGTATTTTAATCTATTATAAACTATTCATCTGGAGGACAACTAAGTATGTTGCGGCATCAACCAGAACTAAAAACACCAGAAATATACCGCAGACGTTGCCCAGCGTCCGTGGGTTAACTCGTGCTCGCATGCCTAATGTTCAACTACCCAAATCAGGTTTGTTGATACCTCCGTAAATTCGGCCATAACACCAACCCCAAGAGATTATAGGCTAAACTTCATCATCATAATACACGTTAGCTAGAGGTGGGAAACACCTCAGCTACTGTGCCGCAATGTATTGCGTGGGCAAGATACTGTCAGGTTGCCCAGGCCTAGACAGGAGAACGATTAGGGTTCTCAACCAAAGCCTTTGGTTCAAAAACCTGGCCGCAAGGCAGCGGGTTTGGCACTGGACTACAAGGAGTCCGTTTTAAGGAATAAGGAGCCACCCTCATTCCAACCCCCAACCTGGAGGACCAGGAGGCTGAGTTTGTCTGGCCTCTAACCATTGACCAATCTGGTATGAGTGGCTCTGAAGGGGCAAAAGCACCACCCAGTACAGCTCAATGGATCACTGAGGCACACAAACCATCGCACCACGGTAAGGTCCAGCCTCATTGCGATGGATAGGCTAAACTTACAACGCACTGAATGTTTTTTTCCCTCCGAATTTGTCCCCCGTGGAACGTCCCACCAACTAACGTTACTCTTCTGTTTTGGCGTTACTGAATACAAAGTTAACTCGTCGTTGTGCTGAATCTAGATGTCGGTTCAAATAGGTTTTATGAAAGGATGATAATAGCGCGCGACGAAGTTGACGACCTACTTGCCGCATCTCCTCTATGCATCGGTAATGCATGTTGGCGATATAACAACGAGGAACAAGGTACCAGAGCAGCGGAGAGGAGTAATGAGTCTTCAGAGGGGCCAACAAAACATACCGATGGGAACTAATCCCTAATAATGCAAGCACACCAGGGATATGCGGCGCGTGGAGAAGAAAATAGGCAATTGATGACATCGGGTGTAAGATTGGGGAATGCCGCCACAGAAGTCTGAAAACAATGTGGAACCTCGGTTATCTGATCATTCCGAGAGAATGACTTTGTTAAAACACACGCTGTTATTAGCCAAGTGTAACGCGAAAAGGAACGTGTTTTCGTTGTCTGAAAACGATGGGTTGTTTCTAAGTTGGACTACCTGATCTCAGAATGATTAGGAGGCGAACCGGAAATATACTGCCAGGATATATCACGGCGTATGTGGAAACGTTTTCAGCTTTTTCATGTTTGGCACGAGTTCTGTTACGATTGTGCTACCAGACAGATGACGTTTACGTTGCTAAACTGTTTGGCCCCGAATAATGTTTGGGACACTACGCTTCTCGTGCACCTCTGCTGTATAGTACTTGGCATAAGTCACGAACAAGTTCTCGCGGTTCGGTAGCACATGAACTTCAACTCGGTAAGATGTTACCATTTTCCAAACTAGTTCATTCAAACCGTGCATATCCATTTGTCTAACTGGCTCTACTGATTGTTCCACTCTCTTTCACAGATCACGGAACCACAGTTCCAACAGCTCTGAATTCTCCACCGAACGAACAGATACGGAACCGTCTGAATTGCTCATTCAGGTCAGAGCAGAAAGTGTCTCCACAGGAATGGAATGCGAAACCCATCTTATGGACAGCACAGTGGCCTATGCCAATGGACCACCGGAGGAGTTGAGCACAATCGGTACTGAAGACACATTGAGAATGGCCGTGAGCACGCTAGATGGATCTCTCTGATTGGCAGTCGCACGTACTGTTCTGGTTGCATTCGCTTTGTATATTCCTCACCACCCACCCGTCCGTTCGATTTTTGAACTCTCATTTGCAATTGGGCAGTTTACCGGCCACTTTCGTTCAGATCAAGTATTGTTGACTTTCTATCCCCTCCAACGCCTCTTCTTACTTACAGCACCTCACACACAATGTATATCTTCTAATTATGTGACTTTGTGTATATCTCTCTCGATGAAGCAAAATCAGATACGTCTGCATTGTGTTGTGCGTTTTCAGTGTCCCAGCCGAGTTTCGTTTATCAATTACAGCGCCTCTGTTCCACCCATAGTATCAAATGCCATGCGCAGCCCTTTTATCAGAAAGAATTGCGGTAATGCATCGTCCCAAATACATCCATTGGCCCAACGGCATTCCCGAATAAATGTTGGGTAATTCCAGCTCCGGTCCGGTATGTCAGATGAAACCACTAAGTCACAACAGTTAATGATTAGTTGAAGGCGTTGTTTCAAAGCACTCGTTGTATGAATGAATTGCGATGCGCAATCTTAGTGGGTACCGTAAATGATGAAGTAGATGGAAATTGGGTGCTGCGCGCCCGAGAATACTGCACTCCGCGACTCGAATACGGGACTTGTACTATTTCAACCGAAAACTCTACTTCAAAGTCACCGAGTTGTACCGCGTAGAGCTTACCACACCAAGTACACTGATTCATTGGATGGATCATTTCGGAGTGCACGCTTTGTGAATGGACTGCGACGTGCTAACCCAATGTGGACCGCGATTCACTTTGAGTTT